AAAAAAAAAAAAAAAAAAAAAAAAATAGAAATATATATATTTAGATTTCCCTCCATAATTAATGTAATAAAAATACTTTTTTTTTAAATGGATAAATAACATGGCGGTTGTTGTATGGGTCGGACCCAAGTCAAAAATGAAAGGGATGCAACCCTTAAACTAGACAGAAAAACCAAATTTAATTGAAGCAAGAATTCAGTCGTATATGTGGTTGAAATGTCGAGTTAACCTACAGGAAAATTTTCCACACCAATGCTGTGTCCGATAAATATGATATTTAAATTAGTGCCGACACAAATGACACCAAACTAAATAGAAGTATTACTGTATATTTTAATATCTATAAAGTTTCGTGAATTTCATACTAGGTATTTACCTAATTAGGCATGAGAGATTATGTCAACATCTTTATATGACTTATTCAATACATTAAACTTATTTTGACGGAGACTAGTTTTGTTTAAAGCCAGTTGATTCATGTTATTATGTTAGTGAACGAAGACGTGACACCGATTTTTTATTTAATTTATCGAATGGCCCATTGCAATCACTCCCGGACATTATTTGAAAATAAATTCAAAAAATAAATAAGTGTTTTTTTTATTAAAAAAAATATAAAGTCGGAGCGCAAAGGAATCTCAACCCACCAATTATCCAAGATGAGGCATCTTTATCATTAGGCTTAATGTCTCTCAATAATTATAAATTAACACTTAGTTTCACATTTTTTTTTTAATTTTCTTTCCAGCCCAACCATTTATAGAAAATAAAAACCCATGAATTAGATTTTCAATATTAAGTATTTTAGGACAAAAAAAAAAAAAAAAAGAATAAATTACAGCCGCAGCAACAGATGCAAAAAATTGGTTCTTCTGACAATCTAAGACTTTGTTCCATTTCCAACTTATTCTCTCTACAAAAATAAAAGTTTAAAGCTTAGAGATAGAAAGAGAAAAAGAAAGAGATTCTGAAAATTTTGTGCAATCGATCTTGGGTTGGATCACAATCCACGCAAATTAAAGCATTTGTGTTCTGGGATTGATCCTCCCTCCCAACAAAAAATTATTAAATTCCAAAAACCCAACAAAAATAAATAAAGTTGGAAGAAATTAAATGACCCAAGAACAAAAAAAATACAACCCCTTTCTTCTTCCAGTTCTTGTTGTTACTGCCTGGCTTCGTCCTGTCTGCCATGCCCGAGATGGGTCTCAAGATCTTCACATTTCTCTCAACCCCTTTTGATTTTGCAGAAATGGGCTCTAAAAATTACACAACAACACGAGGGATTGAGACAGAAACATACATAAATAGATAGATCATTAGAACAAAAAAGAACCTGATTTATATAGACGGAGGAGAAAGGCATGGAAGTCGCTCCATATGGCCGGTGACGGCCGCTTCTCGATTTTACCATTTCTTTTTCTTCGACTCAACGCGCTTTATCGATCAAATCAAATCGATTTTGTGTATAAGATATTGATGAGAGATGTCATGGAATTCACATGCAATTTATAAGCCTATGTTCCTCGCCTCAGTTTGGGAAAAAAAGCATGGTTTTTTGTCTTTTGGGGGTTTCATTCCAAATAAGCCAGCCAGCTCAAATGCACACACTCGAATAATATATATACGCACACATATATATAGAAGAATATCTGGGTTTAAGAAAAACGAATTACCCTTCTAGAAACACACCACCATCTCACCTGGGAACACCGACACTTTATTTATTATTATTATTTATAAATATAATTCTCCTAATTTAAGAAATGATATTGAGTTTATAATCAAAAAAAATATTCTCTCCCCATTTTTTGAAAGGGAATCTTTTTCACTTATTTTAATATTTAATTATACATCTATTATGATTTATAATTTGTTCCAGCAACAACATTTAATGATTGCAATTTGAATTTAAAGCTTTCTTCAAATTAATTTATATATTGCTAATTAAATAACTAATAGAAGCTACTTAACTTGGTCAAGTCTAGGAATTCATTTAAATACTTATAATATTAAAATGTGGGATGGTTGGGAATAATTTGTGACCAATATATTATGTCATATATAATATTTAAAAATTCAAATCTACTCCTAATGATATATTTAGTACTTTATTTATTATGTTAATATGTTATATACACTATACTAAAATAATTCATGTTGTAACCTTTTTATTACGTCATATATAATATATATGGTTTTTCTTTCTTTCTTTCTTTTTCTAATAACCATATGGGCTTACTGACCGAGCCGGCCCATCAAACAAAATTATTCGGCCCATTAATTGGATTCGTTGGCCCATGGAAAACAAGCTAGAGATCCATATTGAAGATGGACTTAGGACGATGATGTACAGGTTGACCTTTGACCCAGCTCTGGTTTTGTGAAGGGCCCGTTATTGGGGTCCAGAAAATGGAAATTTGACACGTGTTTGAAATTTGGGTAAGATAAGATTGGGCACGGCCTTGCTTCACGTTTCCCAACCATTTGTTTATTTTGGTATTCCATAATTTAAGCCGCCAAGTATTTGCCTCTTCGCAACATCAAATCTCGAAAGGTTTCTGATTTTAAGACGGTGGGTTTGTTTTCTGATTCGGGAATTAATTATGAAGCCGATTCCGGATGTCAATGAACGTATTGCTCGAATCTCTGCGCATCTTTATCCTCCCAAGTCTCAGGTTCTAATTATGCCTTGTTGATTTCACCGATTTTTATGAAATTTTTTTTGAGCCAATTGCTGTAATTCAACTACCCACCTGGGATTTTGATGTGGATCAAGTGATCGTACTTGCTCGTTATGGTCGATTAATTTGGTTTTTATCGCTTATTTGTTTTGATTTTTGATTGTGTTCGGATAGATGGAGGAAGGTTCTGTTTTGAGGAGGGCGAATTGCCGGGCGAAAGGCGGAGCTCCCGGGTTTAGAGTCGCAATACTTGGGGCCGCCGGTGGCATTGGCCAGCCCCTTGCCATGCTGATGAAGATGAATCCTCTGGTCTCTGTTCTACATCTGTATGATGTCGTCAATGCCCCTGGCGTCACCGCTGATATCAGTCATATGGACACTGGTGCTGTGGTGCGTTTTTTTTTTTTTTACCTGTACAATTTGGAATTAGAACGTACTATGGGATATGAACTTTAAGAGATTTCAGTTACTGTGAAGAAACTGTTGTTCTGTCTCATTTGAAATAGGAAATTTGTTTTTATGATTCGTTTTGGCTGAGTGGCTTTGCAAGTTTTGAGTTCTTGAAGTGAAATAGATAGCATATTGAGAATATTTCTGAAAATTTAGGTGCGTGGATTCTTGGGGCAGCAGCAGCTGGAGGCTGCGCTTACTGGCATGGATCTTGTTATAATCCCTGCAGGAGTTCCCCGAAAACCAGGAATGACAAGAGATGATCTGTTCAAAATTAATGCTGGAATTGTCAAGACTCTCTGTGAAGGGATTGCGAAGTGTTGTCCAAGAGCCATTGTCAACCTGATCAGTAATCCTGTGAACTCCACCGTGCCCATTGCAGCTGAAGTTTTCAAGAAGGCTGGAACTTATGATCCAAAGCGACTTCTGGGAGTTACGATGCTCGATGTTGTCAGAGCCAATACCTTTGTGGTATGTAATAATAGTCGACTAATCTCGTTTCTATTCTTTTAAGTTCATGCTGTAATTTTGGAGTTATATCGTTGCAATGACAAATAGAGGCCCCGCTAGATAAGCATGAAACTTGAAATTCATGATAGCTGTGGCAACCCTTTCGTCCATTAATTAACGGTTTAAATAGAATTTAGATGTCATTACTTTTGGCTTTCTTGTGGCTACTTTAAGAAATCTATTCAACAGTATTGGGATATGTGAGATCCCACATCGGTTGTGGAGGAGAAGGAAACATTCTTTATATGGGTGTGGAAACCTCTCTCTAGCAAACGCGTTTTAAAACCTTGAGGGGAAAACCCAGAGAGGACAATATCTGCCGGCGGTGGGCTTGAGATGTTACAGGATCAGTCTTTTATCTCAATAACCTATGTCATGCCTTCTTGTTATTTTGTCTTTGTCAGGCAGAAGTATTGGGTCTTGATCCTCGGGATGTCGATGTTCCAGTCGTTGGTGGTCATGCTGGTGTAACCATTTTGCCCCTTCTATCTCAGGTTTGCAAGGGTTTCTGATTTGGTTGGTGTACATAATGTTCTTGATTTGCATACTAAGTTTTCATTTAGTTGTTCGTGCCTCTGTGTATAGGTCAAGCCTCCAAGCTCTTTCACACAAGAAGAGATCAACTACCTGACTGATAGGATCCAAAATGGGGGAACAGAAGTTGTCGAGGTACTTAATATCTACTACAACTATGCATTTTATTAAACAACCCTAATAGCAAAATGGAGAAGTACCCGTGCATGTGCTTGTTTGTGTACCGACACATTAATTATCGATAAACAACATTAAACGATTAGATGCATTTATAAATTGCAGGGAAATAATGAACTGAGTATATAGGTTTGGATGAAGCATCTGCTTCATCATGTAGAATCAGACTTGTATTCTCCCATTAATGGTTAGATCCTGCTACATGAAGCTCATATATGTATTTCTGACCACTCCAAGTTATTTTGTTCTTTTTGTTTCCTGAAGTTTTATGAGATATCATTTGATGAAGGCAGAATAATTATTTATCATCTGTGAAGCTCTAATATGCAGATAGTTAGTTGCATGGGGCACAAATTAGATTGATCTTCATAAACTGCAATTTGACGATACTTGTTTGCAAATGCCCGAACCTCTTTCGAGATTTTTACATTCATTGAATCTGTCCTGCTGTATTCTTATCAAACTAAAACATTATCTTATTAGACCAATCTTGAAATTATCCGCAGGCTAAAGCAGGAGCTGGTTCAGCAACCCTCTCAATGGTCAGTTGCTTATTAGACCAATCTCGTCATCGTCTAGTGGACTAAATTTTTAGGCTACCATGAATCTAAAAAATAGTGAAACTAAGACATGTTGTTTTGACTAGTTCATGGTTAAAATGTGCAGGCTTATGCTGCTGTTAAGTTTGCAGATGCTTGTCTTAGGGGCTTAAGAGGAGATGCTGGTGTCGTCGAATGTGCGTTTGTGTCTTCTCAGGTATGCATCTTTTGTCGAAGTTATCGCTAGTTTCCTTTCTTTAATAGTTTGGATAATATTCATCTTATATGATTGTTCGTTGGTATAGGTGACCGAACTTCCATTCTTTGCAACCAAAGTACGACTCGGTCGCACTGGTGTCGAAGAAGTATACTCCCTTGGCCCACTAAACGAATACGAGAGGTATGTGATAGCCAGTTCTAAAAATTGAACATAAGAATCAAATTTGAGTACTCATTGTGGATCATTGAGTTTGAATGAGTTGGGACATTGATTGACAGGATTGGGTTGGAGAAAGCGAAGAAAGAGTTAGCAGGAAGCATTGAGAAGGGAGTTTCCTTCATCAGAAGCTGAAGAGTTGCCAATCACCACAGTTTAAATAGAAATACTTCGTCTCTTATAGATCGAGTACGTACTTATACAGTATGCGTTCTTAGAGATTGAAGTTGATTGAAATGAAACCACACCACCAAGTATTTAATAAAACAATCTGCAGGTGATATCGCCTCCATGTCCACAACCAAAACGGTTGGCTTAGAATGTCGTCTTGAGATTGATGGGTTGTTTTTTAATATATCATTTTGGTACTTAGAATTCGAGTTTGGTATCCGATTCAAAGAGTATGATAGAAGATAGAACATGATTGCGTATCATGAGACTCTGTTGATCTTTGTGAAGAAAATGAATGATGAGGGGAGTTGAAATTATTGGGTAAGTGGAAGGAGAGTGCTTGATGTTTACAAAAATTCCATTCCCATGACTTAGACCTAATAATCAAGCTGACCCTTCTAGAACATAAATGCTTGTCCTTTTTAGCTCACTTTTCCTTTGGAAATCAACGTTAGAAGACAAAGGTGTGCTTGAGTAATGCACAATTTAGTGGCTTCGATCTTTATCTCATATGATGCTTGTTGGCCCATTTAGTGGAATACTAATAATGCTTCCACTAGCATATTATCTTTTATTTTTCTCTTATCCGATATTCGACCCTCGATCGATATTCGATATTCAATCATCCCGACATTTTTATGCATTCTTTACTTGCATGTTTTGATTTTCAAGAATTCGTTCCACGTATAATCACTCTTGTAGTCCTGATTCATATTATTTATCCCTCATTTGTTCAGGTATCACATATTTTTAAACTAATCCGGATAAATCATAACTTCAAGTTTTAACAAAGAAAACTGAAATTCATGAGTTTTTTTTTAGTACAAGTACAGAAGGTGAACAATACTGAAAGAGCAGTGTGTTTATGTAGTGGGAGATGGTACCACTAGCAGTACATCGCACAGTAGGAGGATGCCATAGCCCATCCCATCCCAACAAAAACCCCAAAAAGCAGACACACACTTGCAGGTACATACACTCCTAATTCCTAACACACATCATCAGCACATGCTTCAAGAGACAAGGCTGCCTGTGAATGCATAATGCTTGCTTTTTGTTCTAGCAGGAGACTCTAAAACAGTAACTTCTCGTGTTCAACTGAACACTATGATCATGATTCAGCTATCTCTACCTCGTTTGAGAATCATTGTTGCTGATGCTCCGATAAGATTCGCACGACTTCCTGCATCGTGGGGCGCTTTGCTGCCTCTTCTTCGGTGCAGAGCATGGCGACGTTGAGAACGTGCATCACCTCGTCGAGGGGGACACAAGAGAGTCTTTGATCAACCATTTTATGTATTCCTTCCTTTTCTGAGTTCGTCATTTTTCTAACCCATTCGACTAGGTCCACACCGTCGCTTAATTCACCAACTGGATTCCTACCGCTAACAAGTTCGAAGAGGACGACGCCAAAGCTATATACATCCCACTTCTCGTCGACATGTTCTGCAAGAAAAGAATACCATCCCATTTATCACATTCATCAGTTCTACTGCAACATCATTTATCAACATGCAATCACTCACTTGTTGATTGATTGTGTATAGTCTAATTGTAACCGTCTAAATTGTCCTCTTTTGACTTTCTCTTTTGGGTTTCTCCTTAAGATTTTTAAAACGCGTCTTCTAGGGAGAGGTTTTCACACCCTTATAAGGAATGTATCGCTCCCCTCTCCAACTAACGTGGGATCTCACAATCCACCCTCCTTGAAAGCAAAGCGTCCTCGCTGGCACACCATCCGGTATCTTGCTCTGATACTATTTGTAACAGTTCAGGCATACCACTAATTGATATTGTCTTCTTTGGACTTTCTCCTATGAGCTTTCTCTCGAGGTTTTAAAACGTGTCTATCTTAAATGCTCAGTTTTCAAAATATAAGCTGCATTGAAAGATGAGACAAGCTCTTCAAGTGATTCAACAGATACCTGAATTTTTGTAAGCTCAAACTTATTGTCATACCTGGTGCAAGAGCTGATCGATCCAATGTGCCCGCATCTTGTAAGAACTTCGCGAGCCCAGAATTGGCAAGCTGAGGATCAAAATTGGTGTCGAGCATAATGTTGTTCGATTTCACATCTCGATGAACGATCGGCGGTGAGCAATGGTGGTGAAGGTAGCAGAGTCCATTCGCAATTCCAATGGCTATCTTGTACCTCGTATCCCAAAGCAAATGGCCTCCTTTCTTGCCATGAAGAACCTCATAGAGGTTCCCATTAGGCATGTACTCATATACCAAAAGACCAGTGTCATGGTTTGAACAAAAACCCAATAATCTAACAACGTGACGGTGTCGAATCCTCCCAAGAGCTTGTATCTCGGTATCGAACCCGTCGTCATTAGAACACCCATCGCTCATCTTTGGAAGTCTCTTCACAGTGACCTGATCACCACTAGGCATCACTCCTTCATATACCGTGCCATAACCTCCTTTTGCAATAGCATTTTCCTTCTTAAGGCAATTCAAGACCTCATCAACCGAGAAACCCAAGCGTTGGAAGGCTGTTAATCTCCATCCTTGAAACTCCCTTGCTCTCCTCAATGACCGAACTTTGAAGATCAAAGCAACAGTCAAAGCAAATAAACAGAAAAACGATCCAAAAACTAGGAGGAGCCTGAGAGGAGTTGAGAGGGAGACCTTCATATGTTCTTGATGATTGCAAGGCCCTAAATAGGCTCCACACAGATAAGGGTTGCCAAGAAATGATGTGTAATTGAAGTAACCAAATTGCCCAGTTCCCAAAACCAAACCAGAGAGATTGTTATATGAAAAATCCACAGAAGTTAAGCTCTGCATATGAACTATGGAAGCAGGAATTGACCCAACTAAATGGTTTCTTGAAAGATTCATGTATGTCAATAATTTCATGTTGGTAATATTATTAGGAATTTCACCTGAAAGCTCATTTCCACTAAGATCAAGGAAGATCAAGTGCTTGCACTCACTTATCTCCGGCACAATTCTACCGGAGAATTTATTCTGGCTGAAATTTATCCGAGATAGTTGCTGTAATCTCCCAATCGTCGAAGGAATCTCACCGGAAAACTTATTCCGATCAAGAAGAAGCTTCTGGACAGCCAGAAGGTTGCCGATGGTGGGCGGCAAAGATCCAGAGATCATATTGTTGGATAAACTGATCTGAAGAAGGTTAACTGAGGCTGAATCGGTAATGGGAAGTTCTCCGGAGAGAAAATTGTCGTGCAAATCAATTTGAGTGAGATTTGGCAAACCCAAAAGCCCCTTTGGAATTGATCCATTGAGAGCGTTGCCCCACAGAAGTATACGCCTAAGCGATGTACAATTTCCTAACGATTCTGGGATGGAACCATGTAAGGAATTGCCCATAAGGATCAAAACTTCAAGATGATCGCCATGGCAAATTTCAGAAGGAATTGTGCCTGTCAACTGGTTGAAAGCAAGATCGAGAAACAGAAGCAGTTTGTTCTTCCCCAAATTCGGAGGAATCGAACCAGTGAAATTATTGTTCCATAATTGCAATATCTCTAAGTTTGGGAGGTCACCCATGAATCCCGGAATCTCACCGGAGAGCTTATTGTCGAAAAGGTGCAATAGTGTCAAGTTCTTGAACTCTGCAAAAGAGATGGGTATTTCACCAACAAGCATATTGCATGATATATCCAATGATTGTATGTTCTTCAATCCTCCTAGCTCTGTTAATGATCCAGACAGAGCATTTTCTTGAAGGAATAGTTTAGTGAGCTTCTGCAACTTTCCGAGCTCCGGCGGGAACTTTCCGGACAAACCACAGCTCGCGGCGTCTAACAGAACTAACTCCGATAAGTTTCCTATCGCCGCTGGTATTCCACCGACGAAGGTGTTGTAGTAACCAATGAAGAGTTGTCGAAGGTTCGTCAAGTTTCCGATCGTTGCCGGAATCGGACCTTCAAGGTCGTTACCATGAATCGCCAGAAACTCCAAGAACTGCAAGCGTCCAATCTCCGGAGGGATTCGACCGGAGAAGAAATTTCCCCCAAGGTGTAAATGGCGAAGATTGGGGATTTCAGTGACGACTCTGGGGAAAACGCCGGTCATGTTGTTGTTATAAACATCGAGAACTTGTAGATTCTTCAGCTGCGAAAACTCGCTAGGAATCGAGCCGTTGAGGAGGTTGCTAGAGAGATTAAGATGGCGGAGAGAAGACATGGAGGCAAACTCCGGGGGGATTCCGCCGGAGAATTTGTTGAGTTGGAAGGAAACATTGGTGAGAAACGGAAGAGAGGCAAGATGAGGAGAAAGGGTGCCGGAAAGGTCGAGAGAAGAGAGGTGGAGGGCGAGGACATGGCCACGGGCATCGCATGTGACGCGAGCCCAGGTACAGGGGTCGACGGCGGCGTTCCAGGAGGAGAGAGAAGAACGAGGGTCATCGGAGATGGAGTTTTTGAAGGAGAGAAGGGCCTGTGATTCAGTCAGGGATGCAGAGAAGGCAGGGGAAAAGTAAAGTTGCAGAATTTGCAGGTGCAGAAGGAGAATAATGGCAAAAAATCTCATCTTTTTGCATACAAATTTTGAATGCTTTCTGTTTGTCATTTCTTCTTTTGAATTTTGATTTTAAGATGGAAGGAGGAGGGGGAACTCATCTCCTTCATAATTTCATTATATATATTCCTTTCTCCACTACATCTTTTGATTTTTTTTTTTTTTTTTAAACTTATATGAGATTTCAAGATTAATGATCGAAAATTATTTAGTTTGGGTCCATATGTGTTTGATGTAGAGGACACTGTTGGATGAACGTCCTACATCCGTTAATTTATAGAATGATCATGGTTTATAATCAAATAATACTCTCTAAGTTTTGCACGAGGCCTTTGTCATGAGACTTTAGGCTCAAATGGACAATGTCATATCATTGTGAAGCGTGTTCATCTAGGCAAAAATGACTAAGACAACAAAGGAGTCGAGCCTCAATTAAGGGGAGGTGTACTTTGTTCGAGGGGAGGTGTTGGATGATGAAAGTCCCACATCAGCTAATTTAGGGAATGATCATGGGTTTATAATCAATGAATACTCAATACTCTGTCCATTGGTATGAGACCAACTTATGCTCAAAGTAGACAATATTATACAATTGTTGAGAGTCGTATTCAACTAACACAGATCTAACAGACACTTCAATGATATGACATATATTTGTTGATAATACCCCATTGATAATTGAATTTATTATATTAGTATCATTAACTTGAAATTATGATTAATTAAGCTTCTAATAGCTATTTTTGTAATAAAAAAAATGGGTTTTGAAAGTTTGGTGGGTTTTAACAAACAAAAACGGAAAGAGAGCAAAAACAGAAAAAAAAAAATTAAAAAGAAGACGTATTTGTGGAAGCCCATGTTACGTGGTCCAGTTCATCCACAATGGGCTGCCTTCTTTTTGTATTGGGCTTTAGTGTTTCCCTCGTAATATTGGGTTGGGCCAATGTTGGGCCCATAAAAATGACCCCCACTTCCGATTTGGAGAAATTAATACGGTAAAGTCAAAAGTATGAAATAAATTTTTTAATATCATTTCATTTAAAGCCTCAAGCTATTGAAACTAATAAATAAGACAGAGAATTAACAATATTGTGTCAGTTGACCAACTATTAAATGCAACGCTCATAACGTGCTACTAAAGGAGATAGCCAAATGGACATTTTTTTTCCTATATAGTTAGGTAGAAAAAATTAATGAACATAATAATAATATAATAATAATAATAATAATAATTATTATTATTATTATTATTATTTAAAATTAAAAAAAAAAAAAAAGTAGTAAACTTTATGACTTTTGAGAGTGCAAAATATTCTTTATGAATACTTCCAAACACTAATTAGAGAGAAAAAAAAAGAAAAAGAAAAAGAAAAAAAAAGAGCATAATTAATTAAAGGTAATAATAAATGATGATGGTGTCACTCATCCCTTCATTACCATACATACACACATGCACATATTATAAATCATTGTTTTGATTTTATGCCTTATGATTAAGACCAAGTGGCCCCCATTTGTTACTATTTCCATCATGCTTTCTCAAAATAATGCTATTATTCACATTATAACTTTATGCTTTATTTTAATTCCTATGCCAATGTTTTGATGCTTTCAAGTTTCTTTCTATTTTCCATTTTTTTCAAAGGTAGGCCATACATTCAACACCCACCAAAATTGAAGGGTCGATATTATTTCACAGTATAGACCCAGGTTTGATTCTTAGCTGATGCATTTTATATTCAAACTATGAGATATTGATAGCTTATGGTTAGGTGTGTTAGCGAGAACGACACTAGTAATAATGGTCTAATGGTAGTAATAATGGTCTAGTGGTAGAATAGTAGACTTGGGTTTGATTCCTAGTTGATGATGCATTTCAACATTCAAGCTATGAAGATATTGGTAGCTTTCCTTCTTCTTTTTGCCCACGTTTTATTTTTCCATCGAGGCCAAACTTAAATCTGTGCTCGAGAGATAGATTTCCATATACTGATAAGGTAGGTATGGATTCTCGAGAAGAGAGGAGGTGAGGTGGTACCTCCCGGATCCCATAAGTGAATAGAAAGTTGAATCTACATTGGATCTCACCTGAATCGACCCATCTATTCTCCTGAGGAGAAGTTCCATGCTAATGTGCATTGGATGAACGGTAATATGTAACGGAGACTTATTAGAACATCTTGTTCGTTAAATTGATTGAATTTAGTCTCTTTTCAATTCATGAGTTGGGACAAAATTTTGGGTTGATATTGTTTCACTTTCAATGTTTGATTAACATTTTGGTTTGATAATTATATGAAAACAACAAATATTTCATTTTCAAGAAAGGACAGATTTTTGCTGTTTATGTCTTTTACTTTGGGTCCCCTTTCGGTATTTTTGATTGAAAGAGTAATAGGAAAAGGAAAAATGTTTTGAACTTATATGTAAACTAATACCATCAATTATTATTCTTATTAGACCATTCAATTATTTAACTACTTTATGCCACCAACCCAATTCTAACCTATTCTAATTTTCATACACATTTATTATAACGAACAATGTCCAAGCTTCGTATTAGGATTTAAAATACGAATCCCGCTATTTAACTTTCTACTTCGAAGTCCCACGAAAAATCCTTCCCTTTAGGGTTTTGGTCATTTAATGTTTTGATATTGAAATTATGAGATTGCAACGTGACACCTCCCACCCATGTGAGTTGCTTGGCATTCGACTATCACTCAATTATTACAAATAAAAAAAAAAATGAAAAGAAGATTTTAGCGAGAGCTTGTATCGATGGACCAAAACATTTCTTACAAGAAGTGGATTGTAACTTCTACTTAGTAGATACTTTTTAGAATTGTGAGGATGATGATGATACGTAACTGGTCAAAACAGACGATGTCTGTTAGTAGTAAGCTTGGACAGTTACAAATGATATTAGAGTCAAACACCGGACGATATGCCAACGAGGACGTTGGACACTCAAGAGGGTAGATTGTGAGATTCCATATTGGTTGGAGAGAAAAACGAAACATTCCTTTAAAGGATGTAAACACAAACTCAGTTTCAGTGAAGTAGTGTTTAGTAGTGGAGTAAAAGAAGAAGATGGGTGCTGCAAATGCTTGAACATTTGTTCTAGGAAAAAACAACAATGTCACACCAAAATATCCCCCAACTGCGCAACTGTACATAACAGAAACTAAAAAACAAAGCTTTTGAACATATTACGAGCATAGCATTAAATGGAAGCCAAATAAAACAACATTGCAGTACCAAGCCCCTGAACCTTACTTGCTTCCACTTTTTCTACTTTTAATCTCACACTACCAACCCCAATTAACTTCTTCTTCAAATGCTAAGAAGATCCGGTGGCGGCTGCTGCTGCTGCTGCTCCTTTTTGTTCTTGGTTCCTGTTGTTGGAGGGTCCAATGCTACTGCCCCTGCTGCAGGTGGTGGTGAGGAGTTTGGGAGTGCTGAGTCTCCTGGTTTTGAACATGGTGGCTGTGGGATCTCCGACAGGATTTGGATCACTTCCCGCATCGTCGGGCGCTCCACCGCCTGTTCTTCGACGCACAGCATTGCAACATAGAAGACGTGTGACACTTCATGGAGAGGGATGGAGGACAGCCTTGGATCAAGGATTTTCACTGCCTCTTCCTTGTTTGAGTCTGTCATTTTTCTAACCCATTGGACTATGTCAACACCGTCCCCGAATTCTCCGACCGGTTTTCTTCCGCTGACAAGCTCTAAGAGCACAACTCCAAAGCTATACACGTCACTCTTCTCATCAACTTTCAGCGTGTAAGCGTATTCTGAACGAAAAAAGGCCAGAAAAGTCTCAACAATCAGTCAAAAACATCCACTGTTGTATACATCATATTTAAGAGCCACAGAAAACTAAATCATTGACAGAACAAGTTCAAGCTTAGAATCATACCTGGAGCAATATATCCATAAGAACCAGCAATGGCAGACATGCACTCAGAAGTGCCGGAATCCTGCAAGAACTTGGCCAGGCCAAAATCAGCTACATGAGCTTCAAAATTAGTGTCAAGAAGTATGTTGTTTGATTTGACATCTCGATGAACAATGAGCGGCGAGCAATCATGATGGAGATAGCAAAGCCCTTTGGCAGCTTCAATGGCAATCTTATACCTTGTGTCCCATTGTAAGTGACCTCCTTTTTTCCCATGAAGAACTTCCCCCAGGCTCCCATTAGGCATATACTCATAAATCAAAAGATTTGTCTCATGATTTGAACAAAATCCCAATAACCTAACAATGTGTCTATGTCGAATCCTCCCAAGAGTTTGTATCTCAGCGTTGAATCCATGGTCGTGGGAAGACCCTCGGCTCATTACCGGCAGTCTTTTGACAGCAACGTGGTCACCACTAGGCATCGCCCCTTTATACACAATTCCAGCACCTCCTTTTCCAATGATGTTGTCCTCTTTCAAGCAATCAAGAACATCATCAACTGTGAAATCTAGGCGTTGGAAGGATGTTAATTTCCAAGCCCGAGACTCACTGGCTCTCTTCAATGATCGAGCTTTGATGATTGCAGCCACTGCAAATGCAATTGAGCAAAGAAGCAGACCAATTACAAGGAGGAGCTTAAGGGAAGCAGAGAAGGGACCTTTTACATGTTGTTGGTAATTGCTATTGGCGACCCCATCTTTGCATGGTCCTAAATATGGGCCGCAGAGATCAGGATTGCCCAGAAACGATGTGTAATTGAAGTAGCTGAATTGCCCACTTCCCGGAACTAAGCCGGAGAGGTTGTTGTATGAGAAATCTACAGAGGTCAAACTCTGCATACTGGCTATGGAAGCTGGGATTCCACCGATTAAATGGTTCTTTGAAAGATTTAGGTAATTCAATATTCTCATACTCGTAATCTCGTTTGGAATTTCACCGGAGAGCTCGTTCCGACTGAGATCGACGAAGGTTAGCAGCTTGCATTGGCTAATCTCCGGTGCGATTGGACCTGAAAACTTGTTGTTACTGAAATCAATCTTTGAGAGTTGCTGTAACCGCCCAATCTCAGGTGGGATTTGACCGGAGAATTTATTTCCGTCGAGGAGTAGTTTCTGGACGCCGGAGAAGTTGCCGATAGTGGGTGGAATCGACCCGGAGAGGCGATTGTTCGAGAGACTAATCTGGCCCAGATTGACGGAGATTGAATCGGTTACAGGGAACTCGCCGGAGAGGTAATTGTCCTGTAACTCAACCTGAGAGAGGTCCGGCAGACTGAGAAGCCCCTTTGGGATAGATCCATTAAGAAAATTGTCCCCCATACGAATCCGATTAAGCGAAACACATTTGCCTAGCGACTCTGGGATTGGACCAAACAAGAAATTGCTCAATGCGATGAGAGTTTGAAGGCGATTACCGTAGCACATATCGGGAGGAAGATTTCCGGTGAGCTTGTTGGAAGAAAGATCCAAAATCTGAAGCATTCCGTTCTTGCCCAGGTTCTGTGGAATCGCTTCCGTGAAATTATTCTCCCATAACTGCAACACCTCCAGCTTTGGCAAGTCCCCAATAAAGGAAGGAATCGCTCCATGAAGCTTGTTTCTAAACAGATTCAACAGCGTCAAGTTCTTGAGATCGGAGAACGAGCTGGGAATCTCACCCACAAGCATATTGTTCGACAAATCCAACGATTTCAAGCCATTCAACTCTCCAATCTCCGGCGTCAATGGCCCAGATAGACCATTTACTTGAAGAAACAGCGTATCCAGGTTCTTCAGCTTTCCGAGCTCCGGTGGAATCCGACCAGAGAGTCCACAGTTGGCCGCGTCCAACCGTACCAACTCCGACAAATTCCCAATCTCAGCCGGAATCCCGCCGACGTACGCGTTGAAGTAGCCAATGTAAAGCTCACGAAGATTCGTCAAGTTCCCGATTTCCGGCGGTATGGAACCGCCGAGTTCGTTACCAGAAACCGCAAAGTACTCCAAGGACTCCATCCGACCGACTTCCGGCGGAATCGCTCCGGCGAAGAAATTTCCACCCAAATGCAAATGGCGGAGGCTCATCATTTCAGTAACGACAATGGGGAAATCCCCAGTCATATTGTTGTTATACAAATCAAGAACCTGCAGATTCCGAAGCTGCGAAAGCTGCGTAGGGAACGACCCATCGAAGACATTATTAGACAGGTTCAGGAACCGAAGAGAAGAAATGGAAGAAATCTCCGGCGGGATTGGACCCGAGAAATCATTGGACGCAAGAGAAAGATTAGTAAGAAACCTCAAATAGGCCACATCAGGCGAAAGAGAACCAGAAAGCCCGAGACCAGAGAGGTCAAGGGCAGTGACATGGCGACGAACATCGCAAGTAACCCCAAACCAAGTACAGTGACTGGTGGAAGCATTCCACGAAGAGAGCGAGGATTTGGGGTCACCAGAAATGGAGGTTCTAAGCGAGAGCAGAGCTCGATACTCAGAAACACGAGCTGAACAACAATGGTGAATGTGAAGTTGCAGAAGACAAAGGAGAAGAAGAGGAAGAAGACGCATTTTGTTTGCAGATTCGTTTCTGAATCAGCGATTTGTGCAAATACTAAAGAGTGAGTTTGTAATGGGAGGAAGAGGAAGACGAGCGAGAGAGCTGAGTGAGAAGAACAAGTGGGTTTGGGGCGGGGGCCGGGGGGACCTCAATAAAGTGAATCATGTCGCACATTTTACATTTGATTATGTTTTTAAAAATTTGAATCTTTTTTTACTTTATAATATAAAGTTTTATATCTAACATTATAACGCATATTTATGTCCAAATATATATAGATATAGGTGTAGGAAAGACATTAAATACTCTCACGAACAATTATATGTTAATTGATTGGATACACTCTATTTTTATAATACTAATTCCACAGAATTAAAATAATAATTTCCCATTCTCCATTGCAGATTCAACTTTTCTGGGAATTTGTGAACATAGTATAATATTAATTTTAGTGCAACAATAAAGCTAATAAATAAAATTTGGAAAAAAAATTAATTTCGATAATTAACACAAATTTATATTAGGGTTAGACGTAGAGTAATGAAGCTACTGATTTCGGCAATAATTGCTTTATTTGGATTGCATCTTCCCAGTGGGTGAATTTGGTGGAGTTGTTGATGTCTTTTTTATTATTTTATAAAAAATAAATAGTTATAATTAGTTCAGAGTTGTTAAGCATTAAAATAAATTTCATTATTAACAGCATTTTCATTTTCATTTTCATTTTCATTTTATATATTTTTTTAGTTTAATTTCTTGATTAAACAGTGGAGGGTAGAAAATGGTAAAAGAGTGTTAAAAAAGAGACGCAGCTTTTCGACGACTTTTTGCATAACTTTGCTTCTATTTTCTTCTTTCTGCATTGCTCCCTCTCCTGCCTCTTTTTATGACCACGATCTACAATAAAGCTGTCTTTTTTCTTTTCTTTTCTTTTTTGAATTTAAATAATTTAATTAATAGAAAATGAGGTCTGTAAAAATTTGAATTTTACCGAGGGGGGGTTTGAGGTAAAGTAATAATAGCGGTGGATTTGTGTGTTATTTTATTTTATTTTTTTCTTTAGATAAGGGTTGGTCAAAGTCAAACAAACCCAAGGCACGTTAACAGACACCAGACGGCTTATTGTGGCCCAATCCAATTTCTCTGTCTCCCACTACCCTTCTCTTTCCCTCATTATTACCATCTCCACCACCCCCCACCCCCTACTTAATTACTCTTTTACCCTTCAATTTACCCCTCCTTAATTACTCTTTTACCCTTCAATTTACCCCTCCTTAATTACTCTTTTACCCTTCAATTTACCCCTACTCCTCTGAGCCTGATCCTTACGGCACATCGCAACCCGACAAACTCACTCCATATTGGTCCCCGATCAAAACAATTTTCTTTCCTAATTAAAATGGTGAAATGACGAAGCAGTCCTCCTTCGTTGATTCTGTGGGCAGTGTAAGTGAGTGAAGTATAGACGCGTTTTAACTCGTGAGCCAAACCAAACAATATCTGTTGACGGTGTTGGTGGGTGGTGGGCGAGAAAGAAGGATTAAAAAAAAAAAAACAGAAAAAGAGACAAAAAGAAAAGTGGTTCCATAATTTCGACCACAAAACACGTTATCTCACTTCCTAATCTTTGTATCTTGGTTACCGAACAATTTGTCCCCTCTTTCTCTCTCTCTCTTCAGCCCTCTGAATGCACCTTCTCGCACCACAAAACAAAGCAAAACAAAACAACACCTCGTTTCTAACATTAACAACATTTTCTTCTTTGTTTTTTTTTGGGGACTAAACGACGACACTTCAATATCCATTAATCTTTGTTCAAGCTGTTAGGCACTAGCTTGGCCTTCACTCTTTTATGTTCCACCATACCATTTTGTCTACTTGCCTGCACCAACCAGCAACCTTAAATTCCTGGCCCAGCCCAGCCCAATTCCTAAAACAGAGAGAAGATTTGTTCTAATTGGGCCGACCCGTAATTCTTAAACCCAATTTCACTTCAATTGGGCTTCTAACTTCTGGTAGTTGGGCCGACCCGCAATTCTCAGAATACGTATTTCTAAATAAACAAACAAATAATCATTTCTTAAATCTTAAAAATTAGGTAGAAATTATTTTGATAACGATTGTATTTATTTTTATTAATTAAAAATATTAAATGTTTTTAAACTCAGATTCTTGTCTTTAAGCTTAATTTGGATAGAAATATAGGTGGATATGAAAGCAAAAATAAAAATTGGAAATCAGTAGCAAAAGTGAGAATGGCATTGCCACAATTTATTATTTGTCCAACTCCGTCTCCGCTAATCTTTTGGGTCCATTTAAAGCCATACCTCATTTCAAACTTTGTACTCAAATTTCAAACAAATATTATTACGTTGAATTAAATGTTTATATTAAGAATAATGATAATAAAAAATATCGAAGAAATTATGGATAAGATCTCACATGATTAGAGAAGGAATAAAATAATCTAAAACAATAAAGCTAACGACAATATTTAATGGGCTAAAGTTAATTTTTCGATTATGAAGTTCCGTACTTAATGCAATTTCTATTAACATATTGTCTGATAAGTATAGTGTAAATGCTTTATTTTTCAAACCTCAGCCTCCAAAGTCAACCACTTTGTCTCTCTTTGAATGGTGTAAACTCTCTTCTTCATAAAGAGGCTGTTACAATAAATAACAATTTCATAATATTTTTTTGTACATTAGTCTTTGAAAAAGTTTCAAATATAAGCTTGGAAGAATCTTAAAAGCTATTAAAAAAAAAAAACAAATTATTTTGTCGCTGACTACGAAAATAAAGTTTGAATCTTCTAATCTTAAATGTTTGAATCTTCTAATCTTAAATGCGTAATTAAAGTAGGATTAAATTATACATTAACAAATTCTCTCCATTGAAACCCACTTTAATTATGTACTTTGGTTCAAATAATTAAAGAAGAATAGTCAAACAAATAAAAGTAGAGATGATTTGGTAGTTTATATTGTTTGAGACGGTAGGTTCGTTTGAAATGTTGGTGATATTTAGTTGGGTTCATGCATTTCCAATAAAATGGGATATCCACCCAATCAAATGATGCTTAAATTCCACGTCAAAATCAATAGATAATTCCATCTCTACTTTTATTCGACATATATAACGAATGGATATATAATGAAAATAGTGGAATTTGTAAGCCAACAAATGGACCAAACAGCTTAGGATAAGTATGTTACATTAAAGATCCGACCATGAAATTTCACGAAGATCACATAATCTTTGGTGGGACAATGCTTGTCTTTCTTCCTTCTCAATAATCTTCTTTTCATTTTTTTAAACCATAAACTTTCAAACCAATCTATATCCGTTTTCACTCGTCCAAACAATTTTTTAATTCCATCGAACGTTTCACAATTGAGTGTTCACATTATTCATTAACTTTCTCTCCTAAACTTCTTAATTGCTTCTAAATTGAATGATTCTGATTTAGCTTATCAAACTTAGTTATCATTGTTGTTGTCTCCACTATACCTCTACAACTATCATAAACATGCATTATTGGATTTTCCTTCTACTAGTAGTGATGTTTCTTATGACCGTCTATTTTTTCATTTCTATAGTCGCAACGTCATCACGATTAACGTCTTGAACAGAGGTTTCAAGTAACTATTAATCATCTTGAAGTGTGATTGGTAACATATATTTTAGAAAGTTGGTTACCGAATTTATTTCAAAATTATCCTTTTAACTTGGTCAATCGGAAGAAGGTAAATTTTAAGTTGCCCTAGCACAACGTCAGGTGTGTAGATTCTTCATATTATTATGCACGTTTCCTTCACAAGCCTCCTCACAAATGCTTTCAAACTAATTATTGAGTCGGTTTTGGCAGCTTCTCGAGTCGGTTTTGGCTTCACAAAACCCTAACATTACATTACAAACACAAGATCCCTCAAAAAACCAAACCTAAACCCTAGCAAGAGAGAAAACAGCCTGCAAAATCCCACAAACAAAACAAAAAAATCCATTTTTACAGAGGTAAAAAGAGTCAAAACCTCTAAAAAAAAAAAAAGTTACCCCTCTCAAATGGGTTTGTTTATTTATTACATCATCACAGGCTAATTTATTTTCTCTCAATTTAAGGCAAAAAAAAAGGGAAGGAAAAAGAAAAGTCAATCTTAAAAACAACAAACAAAGTTTGTCTTTTTCTAAAGTTTTAGTTGAAATCCAGCAAAGCTTGTCTTAGATTCTTCACAACATCCTCCACTTTCATACAAAAACCATCATCTACCTGCATTAAATAAATAATATAATTTATCCTCCAAATCCCAGCTTCAATTTATGAATTAAATCAACAAATAAAATAACCTAAATTATGTAATATAGTACCTGAGCCACAATGGTGATGTCGAGCTTAGAGTGGGCGAATGGCAAGGCACTACTGTTGAGGATTGTGAGATTAAGATTCTCAATTTTTCCCAGCAAATAGGAGAGACAACCTTTGCGTTTGTGGCAGTGGATTCTGAAAAGAACATCCTTGTTTGAAACCCTTGCTTCTATTTCGGGAACTGGTCGCCCCGAAAAGCTGTTCTCCTCCGATGATATCGTGTCGTCGTCGTCCGAAGAGGAAGCTGGGCTCCTTCTTTTCACATACACGGTGGATTGCTCCTCCGACACTTTGGATATTGCTGCCTGTTCCTCCACCACTTTCAAACGCTCTTGAAGCTCTTTTACATATCTTACGGCTCCGCTCAAGATTGAAGCTTTGTCTATCTGTAACAGAATAAACAAACACATCCAAATTTAGCCCTTTGTCTAATAGATCTACTAACAATCGAGATCTTAAAAGGGTTTTTAGAAGCAAATTTGAGAGTTTTTAAGTCTATTAGACATGATTAAAAGATAAACGGTGAGATCCTATACATCGTTTGAGATGAGAACGAAACATTCTTTATAAGGGTGTGGAAGCTTTTCCCAACAAACACATTTTAAAACAGTGAAGCTGATGGCTATTCGTAACAGGTCAAAACAGACAATATCTGCTAACGGTGGGCTACAATTGTTACAAAACACGAGGCGGTATGCCAGAAAGGAGGTTAGAGTTGGAAAGTGGGTGGATTGGGGGTCCCACATTGATGGAAGAAGAAAGAATGTCCCCAAAAAGTAGGCCTTAGAGAGATTGGATGGTGAGATTTCACATCGGTTGTAGAGGAGAACGAAGCTTTATAAAGGTGTGGAAATCACTGAGTATTCTTTATTTATAAGGGTGGGAAATCTCTCTTCTAGTAGATGAGTTTTAAAACTATGAGACAAAAAAGACAATATTTGTTAGCTAGCCGTAGATTTTAACTCTTACATAGACAGACTCGATTAAGAAGAAAAATTGTAACTTTGACTGAGTTAAGCTCGACCCAGGGAAGATCGGGTGCAAACTATAAAGATTGGTTTAAACATTTACCTTGTTGAGGCCAGGAATGAGAGCTGAAAGAGCAATGAAGCGTTGGCTAAGCTTCTCTCTTCGTTTTCGCTCAGCCAAAACATGTTCTCTAGCATGAAAAGGATTTCTATTAACAGAACCAGCCGCCTTCTTAGCTCCCTGTCGACTGTACTCATTATTCCAACTCTCAGTAATCAAAGTCGAGAAATTTAAATTCCTATCAGACTCATAAGCCATCTCAATCTTAGGCTCCACGCTGCCCTTCACATCACATCCTTTCCCAGCTTTGCAGTTCAATTTTTCAAAGCTAATTATATGGGACGAGGACGATGAAGAATCAGCCTTGGGAGCAAACCCTTGAGATGTTGCGCCCTTCCCCTCCACCTTCACCGCCGACGGCAGATCCGTCGACCCATAAAAGTCACTCCGCCCATTCTCCTCAAATTTCATCTCATCAAACGAAAATTCAAAAGGGTTCACCTGGAATTCATCCATAAAGTAAGGAGCATCTTCCATTTCCTAAAAAATCAAAAACCCATTTTAAAAAAAAAAAAAAAAAAAAACGACCAAAATTAATGAAAGAAATTGATAGAACATTTGGTAATTACCCATTCAGACACCCATTTGGTTGATGAAATCTCCATTGGATTGTTGATTTGTTGATGGGGGGAGAGAAGGAAAAATGATGAAGGGCTTTATAGGGCTAAGGAACACGTTTTTAGGGAAGGTGGCTTGTGTGAAAGAGTGGTTAAGTCAGCTTTCGGGTTCGTGTTTTGGTCAATGGATCCGTGAATTCTCTCACGTTTTGGCTGTTTCTGAACCCAATGTTTATTTTAATTAAACATTCATATATCTATAATATATTTTTTAATTTTTTAATTTTAATTTAAGTTTATATAAGGCCATGAGAAAAGGTAAAACATGATTGTTAAAAGAAAAATAATAATATGAATATTAAAAGAAAGGAAAGAATAATAAACTTTAATTAAAAAAAATAAAAAAATCTGCAAAGATCCCACCTTTGGCTATTTTATGTTCATACGTGGAAACAACCTCCCATTAAATTGGTGAGAATAGCACGTGGGAATTGACGAACCAGACACGAAGGTGCAGCACAGAGCAGAGCCCTACACTCGAAGCACCTTAGCCGTTAATTAGGGCATGGTCCTAGAGTCCTTAAGGACTACGGTCAAAATTCTCCCATGCCCTAAGATTGACCTGCAAATTACATTACTACCCTCCATCTTAATTAATTATATTATCATTTTCTAATTAGCTATAAATAATAATTCAATCTCAAGATTTTATTTGTATTTTATAATGCAACGATCTCCTTTTATATTACGCATCACGACTGAGTAATTCCTTCTTAAATTTTGGGTCGAACTATTTATTTATTTTTAATTTTTTTGAATAATAATTAATCACTATATACTTTGCATACGTTCTTGGTCATTTTTGTTTTATAAATACAAAGTTGAAAATGATAAAATAAATGACTTTTTAGTAAATATTTGAATAGTTTAATGTAGTGAAATGAAAGTAATATTATAATGTTGCAAATATTGTATTTTCTTATTGGGGTTTTTAAATTATTTTGTAAATATAGGATATTTATTGCCAGAGTGGACCCATGCGGAGATAAGAACAGTATGTATATTAAAATCATATTTGTATAAAGCTGAGTTGGCATAAATACTATATAATATGGGTTTTCAATAATTTAAATCACAAGTCATTTTTGGAGATCATCATCAATATGTATCCTTTAATAATAATAAAACAAAAATCATGATTTTATATAATGTACATAAATATTTATTACATAAAAGTGGAATGGTTGAGTATCATTTTAAACTTATTTATTTCTTTTAAATTTTAAAACCTACCAAAATTTATTCTTACTCAAATTAATATAATATTTATATTCTGAAATTAAAATGAATTATATATATATATATATATATATATATATATATATATATATATATATATATATATATATATATATATATATATATATATATATATATATATATATATATATATATATATATATATATATATATATATATATATATATATATATATATATATATTTCTTTAAAAACTTGGAGGATTCGATCTAAGAAAGTATATATAATAATTAATTGAATTAAGTTCAAATTGAGCTTATAAAATATAATTATCCTACGTTTTTATGTCTATTTGATGTTCTTTAGAAGTGAGGTTGTGATATTTGAGTAGAGGAAAGGTACATGAATGAACCGAAGATCACGTTCCAATGAGACCAATCTTGAAAATAAGATAGCTAAAAAATGCTTGAACGACTTGAAAGTTACAATGTATACATCTTCATTCTGGTGGCTTAATTGTAGGAGTTTTATGATTAAATGTGTTTTGTTTGGACCAATTCTTATGTTGGGCTGGTATGTGGGGGGATAGTCTTCACTCTTAGAGTCGAACGGCCACTAACGTGACCATGTCGCAAGGAATGCACTAAAATATCGGGGTCATCATGTGCTGAATCCAACTTTTGAATCCTAGACATGGAACGTTACAGAAATTGTCTAGCTCTAAAGCATAAAAGCTTTTATATATATATATATATATATTAAAATGTATATAAATTACTACATGGGTTATTGTGTCTAATAGGTATAAGTAAGGTCAATAATTTGTATAAGCGTTTAAGCTCAGAGTAGACAAAATTATCGTGGAGAAAAAGAAAATTTCTAGATCCAACATAATTTTTCTTCCCGCTTCAAAATGAAAAAGAAAACCACTTTTCAAATATGTACGAGGATTAAAATAATACATATCATCATTAGTGTGTTCCGATAACTTAGACATTAAAACTCATCGATACAAAATAAAAAATTGTCACCCATCTCGAGAAATTAGTTATATAATAATAATAATAATAAAGGAATGAAGCATGGATGAGAAAGCATATGATGAATGTAATTAGATGTAAAGCATTTAATGGTTAATGAAAGCTTGGAGATTAAGAGATAGATTATAAAGATTTGTAGAGCTGAATTGAAGGCCACCACACACACATGTACATAGGACTCCCCAAATATTTTGCCAGTAAGAAACCAATAAAAAATTAAATTAAATTAAATTAAAAAAACATGTATGGGACACCTCACCCGATTTATTGTAATTTAATACCCATTAAACCCATGTGTGTTAATTCTCCATTTTGGGAGCATAACTCACATCAATATTTTATTATTTTTAAATCTAATAATATATAATATACACTTAACTCTAGTTGGCCATGTTTGGTTAGTTTTCAACGTTTAAACCATCACATCTAGTTAATTGGATAAAACCCTAAATATTATATAAAAGTTTAAGGTTTGGGAGAGTCTGAACGCATCGTGAGATTTCATATTCATTAGAGAGGGGAATGAAGTATTTCTTAGAAAAGTATAGATGTATTTTAAAATTATGAACCTGACGGTAATATGTAACGGACTAAAACAGATAATATCTACTAGCGGTGGACTTGAGGGGTTATAAATGATATCATGGTCAAACACGGTCATTGTGTTAGCGAGAACGTTGGGCTCCTAAAGGGGTGGATTGTGAGATCCCAAATTAGTTGGAGAAGGGAACGAAACATTTTTTTATAAGTGTGTGAAAACTTCTCTCTAGTCGATACGTTTTTAAACCGTGTGGCTGACGACGACGATACGTAAAAGTCAAAGTCAATTTGGAACGTTAAATTTGAGAGATAAAATGGAGCGTTGACAATGGTGGGGAATGGAAGATCTTGTAATCTTTGTGGGACATCGGCTGTGTTCTCTTCTTCCTCACTCCACTCTATCCGACACCCCATAACTTGTTTGTTTATACTAAGGATTGGTTCCCAGTTGTCTTAATTATGTTGCAATGGAGCTGTCACTTTCATATAATTAATTCAAATTATCTTATTAATTGTAGCAACAAACTTAATTAATCCATAACCAAGATTGCCCACATACAAAAACTTGCAATAATTTTAGTTTTGTAATTTTACATGAATTCAACAGAAGCCTGTGTTAATTTCTGGACTAGCTCCTTCACTGTGATGCAGAAATCATCATCCATCTGCAAATGAAATGAAATTAATTCCCATAACATAAGACAGAGATTTAAAAAGAGTTTGAGATTAAGAACCTGAGCGATGATGGTTATATGAAGGTGTAAATTGGGAAATGGCATGGCGGTGGTGTTTAGAACTGTTAGATTGAGCTTCTCTATCTGTTTTAGTATGTTTGAAACACACCCTTTGCATTTCTTGCCATGAATCCTCAATAGAACATCCTTGCCGGAGACTCTTGCTTCTATGTCCGGGATTGCGCCGTCCGACCAGATGTTGTCGTCGGTGGTTGAGAGATCATCAGATCTGTTCATAACCACCGCTGATTCCACGGTTGCTTTGGCTGCCTCTTCGTCAGCCGCCTTCAAACGTTCTTCAAGATCTTTTATGTATGTTATTGCATCCCCAAGAATGGAGGCTTTGTCCATCTATTACCCACAAATTGAAATTGAAATCTTTTGAAAGTTAAGAATATGAATAAAATTTTAAATTGTAAAGGTTTCAAAAAAAAAAAAAAAAAAAAATAGTTGCGGGCATCCTTGAGAATTCCGGCGGCGATTGTCGGTACTCACTTTCCAACGACGAGTGAGCTAAGCTAATTCGTTCTTGCGTTGCCTACGATCAAGCGACGTATGCTCGAGCCTCTGGCCTCGATTTTAAGACAATGTTTTAGAAAACGAGAGTAGAGAGAGAGATTTTTTAAAGAGATTTTATATAAGCGGACAAGAGAGAAATAACAACTGCTCACAATATATAACCTTGGATAGGGAGAAGCCCGCAAACCTCTCTGTCTCCTCTCACTAAGTCCAACTACCTCCTTCTGCAAAAAAAAAATCGAAAGAGGGAAGGAAAGAGAGAGAGGGAGACGAATGGTTGTGAATAGTGGAGATAACGTCATGAAAGAGAGATGACTAACAAGCCATTTAACACCTTAATACACACTCTACTAAACAGTATCGTTGCTTTGCCGGCCAAAAAGATGAATTGATCACGGGTTTGATTAATATTCATCCTATTGTACGGACCCAATTAATTAGAAAGAAATGATTACCTTCTTAAGACGTGGAATGAGAGCTGAAAGAGCAACAAATCTCTGGCTGAGCTTTTCTCTACGCTTTCGCTCAGCTATGACATGATCTTGGCCAGCCAAAGGGCTTCGATTCACAACCCCAGCACTCCTCTTCATGCCCACGCCAGATTTTGGCGAACAATTTGATCCCTGTTCGATCACCGACGCCAAATCTCTGTTTGTTTCGCACCACATCTCAAAATTGGGCTTCACTCTGTTGGAAGGTGGAGAAGAAGAATGGGAGTTCCCAAACGAGATGATGCGAGATGAGGAAGACGAAGCAGCCATGGAAGCAGTGCAGCAGTTGTTCCAGCTGCCGGTAGCCCTCGGTTGTTTCGCCGGCGTCTCCTCCGCCACCTCACACGGCTGCCGGGTTTGTACGGAATGGTCTAGATCTGTGTGGGATGTGTAGCTTTGGTCGGAGAAAGCTTGGAAACCGAGCTCGTGTAGCGTGCACTCAAAAGGGTTCATTTCCAAATCATCCATAAATGGAGCTTCCAATTCCTTAATAATCAAAACCCCAAAAAAGGATCAGATTCATAATAAAAATTAAAATTAAAAAAGAAACCCATAATTAAGATGAGCAAATTACCATTTTGCAGAAGAGATTTCCGTTGGAAAAATTGCGGTGAACAAATTAAAACCCTAGGAATTAGAGGTTATTTATTTAGTTAATTAATTATTAAGTATAACATGAATTAAAGATAAGATGAAAAGCACGACCATTTAAGGAGCCGTGTTTTTCCAAATGTGGAAAGGGTTCTATGTGGTGGAATGGGTGGATTTATTTTTTATTTTTATTTCCGATCTCATGGATTATATCTAATTAAATAAACATGGCAATTATTGTTTTTCTTCTTTCTTTTGGTTTCTTTCTGTAATATTAAATTATTATTATAATATATTAGAGGAGGCCGGTTATGCACAATTTTTTAATCTATCCAATTGTGCTCTCACATCAAAACCCTGATCAATTTCTATAATATATAAATAATTTTATATAATTCAAACTCAAACTCATCCGGTTAAAATTAACCATGATTAGTTCTCCTGTTATGCTAATCATTAACCTAATGTGAATTGTTCGTAGTTTATAATTAAACTATTGCATGGAAACTATTCTCATCAACCAACCATAACATGTTTTGTCCTTATTCACATGTTTTTTCTCAATAAAATTCTTAATGAGGTCACTCAACGTAAAATTGTTCCTAGTGAAGCACATTTATTGTTGGAGTTTTCATGATTGAGTGCACATTATTAGTATAGATAGTAATTATCTATTGTTTTAAGCATTTCATAACCATTATATGCTAAAAATCACTCTCATTTAAATGCATGGGTATCACTTTGTTTACCTCCACATTCTTCTTGTCCTCAATATGTATATCCTCAGGTGGCCTTGCATCCACATGATGCACCCAACACCCTTTTCATTAATCAAAAATAATTTTCGAATCAACAAGTTTTTATTTTGAACAATAACAATAATAAATAAATAAATAAATAATACAATCTTAGAATCATAAACAATTGTATAAAGCCAACTCAATTTGTGGTTCTCATTTTCTTAACCCTCACAACAAATACATCTAAAAATATATATTTTTTATTTAGTTTAACAAGGAACTTAACTAAATGTTATAGGATTATGTTTATAATGGAGTGTTGTAACGGCCCAAGTCAAGTACACTATTCATAGATATTGTTTTGTTTAGGCTTTTAGTTAGACTTTGGCCCTTCATCAACGTAGAATCTCACAATTGAATTCTACTTAATTTCAACCCTTTTCTAATTTAACCATGATTGGAGTAGCGATTCAAATTTATGACATTTTGATCGAGAATAGATGTCAATCATAATTTAATTACGACTAATTATATGTTCAAACCTTTGATGGTGAATTGCTTTGGAAGATGAACCAGAACGAGTGGTTCTTCTGGGTCCAGATCTTCACAGTGTTATCATTGCCCAGTGATCCAGAAGCAACCATGTTGTCGCTGGGGTGACAACATACTGACATCATGTTGGATTGGGGATTGAAGGTAACACACAACAGACAACACACAACACATGGTTAGTATGACCATTAAGCGTCTTGATAAGGGACCCAGAAGACACATCCCAGAGACGAGGAATCTTATCGTCGGAGGCCGAAACAAGAAAACGAGAATCAGAGGAGAAAGCTAAGTCGGAGACACCCTGTTCATGGACTCTGACCTCTTGGAGAGGGGTCAGAGTGGAATTTGAGCAAGCATAGGTGTGAAGGGTCTTATCGGCGGAGGAAGAACCAAGAAGACGTCCATCAGCTGAGAATTTGACGGATGAAATCGCTCGATTGTAGCCAGTTAGGGTCTGGGACAGAGTGTAAGTTTAATAGGAATCTGATTGAGATGGCTCCGATGCAAAGGAATCTAGTGAGGGGTTTATGAAACCGTTGAACCCACCATGAAAGAAAGTCGGAGATGGAGGCGGAGATCGGAGTCCTCCGGCTCCGATGATAGTAGAACAGATCATTGCGATATTCTGGCAGCCCTGATGCTACGAAACAATGTCTTGCAGGTCGACGGTTAATTTTGGCGGGGATATAGAAGTATTGTGAGATTGCCTTTAAATCAAATTGGGGCACTCTAAGTTGAATGATGATATAAATACCTTATTATAATTCCATAAAAAGTAAATATATTCTCAAGAGATCACTTCACAATTCACCAACAGTATTTACATCATATAGTAAAGATATATACAGGCAAAATAGCACCAATGTTGCATCTGATTTTTGGCTAATATTGCCCCAAACCATTCTCCCATATTTTAACTATGGAAGAGGAAAAAGAATTTACGAGCTAATAATAAATACATCTCCTCATAACAGGATGCTGCAAGTCTGCACATTTACATTTGGTTTTCTACAAAATGTCATGGCATAAGCAATCTTGGTCCTACAAAACAGGAGGTCTAGCCTCTACGATCAGGGTCATTGAATCAACACTAAATAGAACCCTTACCCAATAGCAGAAAATGGAGCAAAGCACCAGGTGATTGCTTTCGATAACACAATTCATGAAGCCTACGTTAAATCTTGTTGCTTGATAAGTTTCTAATAATAGATGTTGCTATATGATTCCCTCGTCCACTAAAATTTCTTAGTAAAAGATGTTGCCTCAATAATCCTGTAGGAGAATGAATCGCATGTTAGAAGTCAGGAGCGGCATGAAGAAAATGACTTGTGGGGTAGGCTCAGAAGATAGGCTCTCAATGAGTGAGAAGAGTAATCCAAAATGCTCCCTCAAGAAGAACGATCCAATACAAGCTAACGATTTGAGATGAGTTTTGGAATCTCAGAATGATAGTATTAATCCAAAAGGACTGAAATTTTTACCTTCTGCTGCTGGCTAAATCGCCAACTACAGATGATGTTGATATGCAGCTCCCACCAAAAGAAGCATGACTTCTCATATCCAGACACGACTTGTAAAGATCTTGAGAATGCTTCCCAGGTGAACCAAACCACATGTTTGGTTTCCCATCAGCATTCCTCAGCCTTGAATATGCAGGTGGTGTAAAGTCAGGACATGAGGAGTTGCAGAAGTTTTGATTTCCCTCCCTGTAAAAGAGACAATAGGAAAAATGCGATATAAGTAACTATCGTGAGAAACATCATGCTAAGAGAAACATGAACATCCAGCATAAAAGTACTCTATTCCAGAAGATGGGAAAACTGATGTAGGTCTACAAGAAGAGAGATTAGATGACTGATTTTCAGAAAGCCCCAGAGAAGTCATTGGCCAGCCTTCAATCGTCAGACCTTGTTCGGCTGCAAGGTGCAATATCTGTTTCTCGTCCAGGCCCAGCCCCATGAGCAAGTTCCATAAGTTTTTCAGAGCTTCTCTTTGGTTGTGAATGACTTGATCTCTCATTGCCATCTCTAACTGGAGCTCAGAGTTGGCCATTCCCTATAATACTTCTCAAATTGTTAGGTTCTGAAGAAAATTACAGAATCGTAAAAATAAAAACCATTCATAAAATCTACAATATTCATTAGATTTCTTCTTTCTCTTCACAGATATTACAAGCACTCGTGTTCTATTTCTTTTCTTTTTCCCCTAGATTTGTACAACTGATATATTCAACTCTAGTAAAGAAAATCAGGTGTACGAACACAACAATGTAAAGACATCAAAACTATCAAACCAAATTTGTTTCAATTTTCTCCTTTAATAAGATAACTTGTTTACTCTATCAAAATTAGTGCATTTTTGGAGTACGTTTAGTATGAATATAGCTTAAGAACGATGCTTGGAAATAGAATGGTTGCATTAACAATTTGGTAAGAGAAAATGTGATTTGCAAAGCGTGAAATAATTGTCATTTACTTATTATAAACAATCATAATTTATAATTTAATTAATTATATGAAGTTAAATTAATTTTATTGTTCTTTATTAATTAATTCAATACTTCACAAGAGATAAATTGATTCATGCTAAACTTAAAATTAACTATTCTGATTAAATTTTTACTATTAAAATGTAATAATTAGCTACGTTGGCATATTAGAAAATGACCTTTTAATCATAACATCATATATTAAATATGGTCGTGCAAATCTACTTTTCAATGCTAAGATCAATCAAGAATATACTAACCAGCAGTCTATACTGACTAAGTATCCGCAAGTAAGTTTTATTCCCATTTTTACTAACGGCTTCATCAATCATTCCTTGAAGTTGACATCGCTGCTTTTCATTTGCTTCAATTTCCTAAAGAAGTGAAGTTAGTATTATGAGTAATATACAATTCATACGGACATTAATGGAGGCTCACGCATATGCCGATTACCTTCTGATAATTGACTCCAGCTTCATCATTGTCACGAATGTTATCTAAAATTACTAGACGTCGGGCAACCAGCTCCTCTACAGTTGATCCGTCCATTTGAATAGCCTGTGAGAGTGAAAATGTGCGCCATCAGTCATGCAAACACTAAATCGCGCATTTTCTATCATACTATTCAAAATAAATGGAGAAAACAGAAGGAACAGTTGCAAACTAACAAAGGACCTGATGCCTTGCAATAGTGTCATCAAGTCGTTGGAGTTCTGCACGGTTATTAAGGTTGGTTTCCTCTAGCTCAGACATAGCCTTCTGTAAATTTATTCTTTCCTGAACATTCTCACTTATTTCATGACTTAAAATATTCAACTGAGACAGCTCATCGTCTGCAGCCTTTTCAGCAGGTTTAGTACTAAGCTGGGATTCCTTTTCAGCTAGTTCCTTTTTTAATTGACAAACCTCAGTCTGAAGAAATCAAATAATTAAAGATCAGTAAATGGGTCAACCATCTTAAACAAATAACTCAAATTAACGGGTCACCTGAAGACTATCAATCATCCGTTGGTAGTCTGATACATGGGTGTCTACTGCTCCAATGTTTTTCTGGAAACAGAAGGTGTTAACATCTGAGTAATGACAATTGTCGTCTATAACCATTAAAGTCATGCAACAGATCTTTAAAAAGAAAGCCTCACATCACATAACACAAAAAAAAAAAAAAAAAAAAAAAAAAAAAAAAAAAAAAAAAAAAAAAA